TTTCTCCATTATCAATCTGACTAAATATTTAATTATAAATTGTATTGAACTAGAATAATTAAACATAGAATAAATAAAAGAAATTATTTTTCAAATTGATAAAAGATTAATCTTAATCCGATATGTTTATTCTTATATTAAATAAATAAATAAATAAATCCAGTCAAATTAGAACAGTATAATCAACTCAATTACTTTTTCTAGACTCAATGAACTTTTATTATCGATGCACTATGAAACATATTCTTAATGCATCCTTAACCATTTTATTCTCTTTCTTTATTACGGTAGTCTGAGGCAGAGTATTTTTTTTCCTTTCTTTCTTTTTTTCTTTCTTTTTTTCTTTCTTTGCCGAAGCACGTCACAAAACACTATTTTCTATTGCTATTATCTCAAGGACGAAAAGACAAACAAACAAAACTAGTCGTTCATAATGCAGGAATAAATATATCCCAATTGAATGTGCACCATTTGTGTTCTAATGTTGAATAGAAGATACCACTTTTTCTTAGATAAAATTATAATAAAATGAAAATTTTTCTAGTTTTATGTTTTTCAAAGTTGAAACTAATTTAAACGAAGATACGAACTATAGTTAGATGAGAATCTCTTTGGAAAATTGTTTTAAGATAGATATGAGAGGTGTGAATAGAGTTAATAATAAATAATAAATCTATAGAAATCATTCTAAACATGTTTAGATCTGTTAATAGATTTTTATTAATAATAAAATCTCCTAATTAGTTCTATTGAGATTGATTTAGGAGTTTATAAAAGATAATTTTTCTAAATATAAATGAAAATATTATTTTGTTTTAGATGAATTTGATAATGGATGATGAAATAGTAGAACTTAATGATGATCAAAAAACCATTCGATATAGATTTATAAATGAAATATCAAAAAAAAATGAAAAACTCGCTTTTTATTTAAAAGAAATATTTCATATTTCTACGAATCGAGATCGTGAAACTCGTGTTAAAGTTTATAAAAAAGTATTAAATGATTTAAAATTTGGTAGTATTGAAAGAGAAAAATTAATTGAATATTATGCTAAAATAATGGATTTAGAACGTCGTGTAAGAAAATATGATAATGCTAAAATTTATAATGAAAAAATTGAAAATCCCCAGAGTACAGCAACAGCTGATCGTTTTCAATATGTTTTTTCTCGTATGAAAGATGAAAATGTTCCATTAGATAAAGTAAAAGAATTTTTTAATGAAAATGGTTATGCTATATTTAGTTTAACAATGCATCCAACAAATCCAACATCAACTGATTATACAATTAATGGAGGAATTTTATTTGATAAATATTTAGATAAACAAATTGATTATCAACAACATTTAAAAATACTTGAAAATTTACCTTTAGTTGGACCAAAAAAAACAATTGAACAAGAAGTTGAAGAAACAATTGCTATTATTGATATTATTTATGAAACATCAACTAAATTAAGATATGAATTAATTAAAGCATTAAAACAATTTCCTGATTATCAATATATAATTGATGTTGATAAACCTCTTATACAAGTATCTATATGGCCAGCTGGAGATGGAGATGGAAATGAAAATGCTGATGTTAATGCATTAAAACAAGCTGTTTTACAATTAAAACAACGTATTAAACAATTATATTTAAATGATATTGAACAATTATCATCAGAGAAGAAAATAATTATTCAACAGAAATTAATTGATAATTTATATAAAACACCAAATGATTTAATTCATGATTTAAAACATATACCAGATACAGAAGATATTATTTATAAAATAAATACATTTCGTTTTCATTATGCTCAAATTGATATTCGTCATAATGCTTCTGATATAATGGAAACAGTTAATAATTTAGCAAAAGTAAATGGTTTAATGGAAAATTTTTCTTCGTTATCATTAATAGATAAAAAAAAAAGTATAATTGAATGGTTAAATAATGATGATATAATTGAAAAATTAAAATTAACTGATGATGATATATTAAATAAAAGTAGTAAAACAGCTGGACGTTTATTTGGTAGATTAAAATTAATAAAAAATGATATTGATATATATAATAAATTTATAATAGCTGAAACAAATTCAATAATTGATGTATTATCTGTATTTTTATTATTAAAATCATCTGGAAATAATATAGCTGAAAAAGAAACAATAATTGATATAGTTACATTAAGTGAATCAGTTAAAGATTTAGAAGAATTACCTAATTTAATATCTGAATTAGTTGATGATCCTATTTATCGAAAACATTTATTTTATCGTCAAAAATTAATTGTTATGATAGCTAAAAGTGATACTGTTAGACGTAATGGTCGTGGAGCAGAAGCATCACAAGAACAAGCTTTAGGAAAAATTTATTCAATGGTTGAGAAATTTAAATCGAAATATCCTGAATTAAAAAATTTAGTTATTAATGGTTTTAGTGGTGGTGGTGCTGCATTACAACGTGGTGGTGGACGTGTTACAGAAGTAGCTCATAATAATGGTCGAGCAGCACGTTTTTATCATGCTAAAACTCTAGGTCCATCATTATTAACAATTCAAGGTCATCAAATGCAAATATTATTTTCTCCATCATCAATTGCTTTACATACATTACAATCATTAGTTGCACAAAATGTTCATGCACGTGCTCAAACTGAATTAAAATCAAATGGTGAACATTATGTTTTACCACGTCGAGCACCAGAAGGTTATGATGAAAGAAAAAATATTGAAAAATTTCATAATGCTTGTCAAATAATGCGTCAAGCTTATTTTAATTATATGGGAGATTTAGATGATCCAAATGATAAAAATTTAACAAATGAAAGTTTTAATAAATTATTTTCAAATGGTCCATGGACATCTGTTATTTTAGGAAATTTAAGTTCACGTCCATCAAAACGTGGTGGTCATGGAACAGTTAATCAAAATATAACTGTTAGAAATTTAAGAGGTGAAAATCCAAAATTACTTGATAATCGTGCAATAACTGTTGAACGTTTAAGTGCACATAGTGGAACACATTTTCTTAATTATTTAAGTCTATATGAAGGTTTAAAAAGTATTAATTATGATGAATTAAATGATATCTATATATGTAGTAAATCATGTAGAGATTTTATGCGTAATACAGCATTATCATTACATATGACTGATTTTGATATAGCTTGGTTAACAATGATTGGTGAAAAACGTCCAGATAAAAATCAACTTATTTCATTAGCAAAAGATTTTAATCCAAATGGAAATTTAATGAATACAAATCAACAAACATTAGCATGGCTTGAATTATATGCATATGATGTTGCTAAATTAGTTTATAAATGTATTTTAAATAAAGATCCACCAGAAAATTTTGATTTACATTCACCATTAAGATCTGGTTTTTCGAATTTAGCACAACAATTAACAATAAGAGAAGAATCAAATGAATTTGGACGATATGCTCAAGCTGATATGACTCATTTTATCAATAATAATTTGGATTTTGTTTTACATGCATATCATTGTTTAACATTACAATCATGTTATGCTGCTGCTGATGTTGTTAATGCACCAGAAGGTGGATTAAATATTGAACTTACGAGAAAACAACCAACTTTAATATAATCATCATTTATTATATATATTTAACCATTTAATTTTTTTCGATTTTTTATCTATACCTTAAATAGTATCATCATTTTACAAACATCTTCTTTTCCAGTTAAAACCTTTCTTTTTAATATTTTGTTATGTATGTCAAACCTTATTAAGAACTATAGATTTAAATTAAATCTAGTCCACAAAAAAAAAATCAAATTTCTATTTGTTTTTAGTCAGTTATAGGCGAATGAATCACAATCAGTATCAAAACTAAACTTCTATTTGCTTCTACAAGTTAATTCAGTCGATATACCATAAATTCCACTAATATTCATTCTCAGTTTAGACCGTTTCCCTTATTCAATTATTTAAACGGGAAAAAATTTATGCGGTTTTAACATACTATTTCATCGTTAAATACGAAATTATTCAATTATATATTTAATATAAATGAATAACTATTAACAATTTTTAATGTTGACAATACTTTCATGAAGAACTGTTCACCCTGTTAAAAAACGATGTCAAAAATAAAGAAAGAAAACAATGATAAAATTTCATTACATAAAAGTGCTCATTGTCATAAACATAATACGAAGATAAAATAAAGAATGAAAAAGATCTAGTTGAGCGTTGTTTTCTCTTCAATGAAAATATGACATTTCGGTGTGTCATAGATGCAGCTCAGCAAAGAATGATAATTATGACTAATAATGAAAAAAGAACATCATGATGTAACCTAGATTTTATGTTCATTTGAAAAGTTATTCTAAGTATATATTTTGTTTTCAAGAAGCATCTAAGACATCGTTTTGGAAGAGTATAGTTATCAGATATTAAATAGAAGCATGGAGGTCAGACTGTTTCTTAGCTTCTTCATAAACGCCGCTAAAAATCATAAAATGATTGACGACAACTAATGATGGGTTCCATTGAGAAATTTTTCCGTGAGTTGACAATAACAACGGGCAATTTTTCTGAGAAAATAATGACAATTTTCATAAATAATATATCTATATGAATATGTTTACGAATATTGACCGATAGTCAAGGATTTTATATAAATATCAATGGTTAATTAAATGAAGATACATAGTAGATTGATATTTCAATTTGCAAATTATGTATTTGATTGACGATTCTATTTTTCTTTTGAATAGTTTAGAAAATTGACACATCTCTTATTTTTCTTGCTTTTTGTTTGAAAAGAATGAAAAATTTTATTTAATTGATTCTATTTTATTTTTAACTCAATCTACAAGAATGTTTTATGATGTATTTCTATGTTGTGCTCTCACATATATATTCATTTTTTTTTGTTGTTGTTCGCTTATGACAAAAAAAATAGGATTAAAAATGTTGTATTTATTTCATTGACATTATACATATAGAGTGAAAAAAAAAACAAAGAATATGAAATGTTCGTTTTACTCATCGTGTTATATTTGCAAATATTATCATGGAAAAAAAGTGAAACAGTTCGATTGGAATACAAATATTCTGCGGAACAACGTTTAACATATTCTGAAATTGAAATAATTGAACGTCGTGATGTTGAAAAAGGTCTTGATGAAACAATTGAATATATTGAAATGAATTATACAGAAGTAATTGTTAAAATAAAATCTATTGAAAATATTCAAAGAAAAAAAAATTCTATTCGAATGTTTCCATTTAATCGATATAAATATGAACAATTATTTGAAACAACTTATCGAATAATTGAAGATCAAACAATAAATCATCCTGGTGAATTATCATCATTAAATGGACGAATTCTATTACCACCACCAAATCAACCAAATTTTCCTCAAAATCATATTCAAATAGGATCGACTTGGATAATACCAATTCAAAATTCGTTAGGAGAAATTCAATATAAATTAATTGATATTGATGATAATAAAATAGCTTATATCGTATTTGAAGGTGATCTTATTATGAATTTTGATGCACGTTTAACTGGAAAATGGACTTTCGATATTGAAAAAGGTATTACATTAACACAAGAAATAGTTAGTTCTTCATCGATGTTAGCAGATTACAGACTAACCAAAATAATAACAAAAAAACTTTTATCAATTAACTAACTTTCGCCTTTTTTTTTCCAGTCAAAATATTCAAACTAAACAAAAATGTTTTACATTATTGAACATTTTCACAATCTATAGTTACTCAAATAATGTCTTTTTTTTTTCCAATTTATACAAAATAAATAAATAAATAAATTCAATCAAAAGAAATCTTGACAGGAACATATTTCGGAAGGATAGTAAATTATTGAAGATATTCTCCTTTATTGAGTTCTGCTCCTCCATCGACTAAAGTAACATGTTCCATTAAAATTTATTCATTAATTAGATTATTACAATTCTACAGAGACTTTTATCTATATTAGTTCAGACTTATTCACATTTATATATTATAAATAAAGACATTGACATAGTCAATATTATATTAGAATATTTGGAAACAAAACTAATATTAGTTTTACTCGGAGAATATTCAGAAAGACATTTATCCAACCGAAGATTCAATATCTGCCGCATCACAATTCTCTATATGTGTAAAATGAGTATTATTTTGTAAAAGAAATTATTTCTCTCAGACAATATATTTTATTGATATTATTTAGAATAACAAATTTCTATGAGATTACTGATTGGGAAAATATCTTCAAATGTGACACTGTATTTTTGGATCTTATTTTTTTCACTTTGTAAAATTGGACGAGTCAATTAAAATTCTATAAAATGTTCGTTTCCATAGATTGTCCTTTGAAGAATTAGTTCATCTCAAATTTGATAAAAATCATTGGAATCCATTAATGACAGAAATTATTGAATTATTCTTTTATTTCGATTCTATAACATTTTCAGTTTTGAGATCAAATGTTTTGAATTCTTCTGTATATTGTCATATATTCACCTAAGATAAAAGTGTTATATTCGTCAACTTGAATAACACTATTATTGTCACTATAGTGAACGTATATTTTTTTAAATTTTATCAAAAATACTTTTTAAGAATAAGATTTATAGAAATAAGTATGTGACACTTGACAATTGTTTCATGTGCAAGTTAACAAATCAGACGTATTTAATCATTCTATATTAGTCGAATATATCGAAATAGAAAGTCGAGAAAACATGATATAGAAAAGTTTCGCGAGAAGGATATCTAAATAGCATAAAAACCTAAGATTTGTAACTAATGAATTCGAGTGATTTTTTTTAAAGTTGAGATAGATTATCTTTTCATGAAGAGTCTATTTAAGATGAACTCTTTATGTTATTGTAAAGACATCATCAAAGTTTCCAAACTAGTATATATAAGATTGAAAACATAGATTGATATTTTTGTTTTAGAAAGATATAAAACTATTTAAAGAGAAGAAAAATATCGAAAAAGTTGTCAATATAATTGTTGAATAAATAGTAAGTCTAGCAGCAATAGTTTTTAATACTAGACGAGCTTAATATTGTCCAATAGATTGTTTATGACCTTCACCAAAAGGAATAAATGCATATCGATAATGGTTCTTGATCTTCATTTAAAAATCTTTCAGGATAAAAAATATTTGGATCAATTTTCCAATAACGTTGATTGCGTGCTAAATTATAAAATAGAATTATTATTTGTTCACCTTTATATAAATGAAATCCCGAATGAAGAAGATAATCATTGATTGTTAATGTTCTTACAGTTCCACTTGATGGTGGAGAAAAATGTAAAACTTCTTTAATAAGAGCATCTAAATAAATCAATAAATAAAGTTGTTCAATAGTTAAATATTGTTTTGAATATTAATTCAATTCTTGTTTTATTTTATATTGTATTCGAGAATTTTGACTAATTAAATGAATAAACGAAGAAAGTGCATTTGATATTGTTTCAAAACTAGCAACAAGAAATAACAGCATTTCATGTTTTTGATAAACCTTTTTTATTTTCTTTGGATTGATTTAATTAATATTGTTGATTTATTTATAATGAATGAACAAATGAAGCAATTAAACTTGTTCTTTTTCTTTGATTAGTTCATTCTTTTCATTTATATTGTTCTTGTTCAATTATTTTATCTAAATATTTTTCAATAATTAACATTGATTGATCATATTTAGAATTAAATTTTAAATAAATTTTTCCAATAAATTCTGGCATAAAAAATGTTCTTTTAAATAGATTCAAAAAGTCTTTTAAAGCTAAACTTAAATCATTTGTTGTAGATGTTTCGAAATCATAATCAAAACTAATAAAACCAAATATTGATAAAAGAAGTCTTTGACATTGATCAACAATATCATTATGAAGATAATTTTCACCAAAATTTTTTCATTTATCCAAAAGAATTTTATTTGTAGAATCAATAATTAAATCAATATTTGAAATTATTTTATTACGACGGAAAAGTGGAAGTGTTACACTTGCATGACGTTTATATTTTTCTCCTTTTGTACAAATAAGTGCATCATGAAATAATAAACTAACTTTATTGATATTAACATCACCTTGATCATAGATATCTCGATGAGTAAATATATATTCAATATCGTCAACTCCGCAAACAGTTAGAAAACGTGATAAACCCATCCAAAATTGATAAACATCACCAAATTTACTTTTTAATTTTAAGTGTACATTAGCTACAGATTCATTTTCTGTTATCATACCTGTTTGACGCATTTTATCAAAGAAAAATTTCGGAGATAAACCTGGAATAGAATGATGACGAGTAAAATATTTTAATTTTGAATAAATATATAGAAGCACTAGAATAATTACAATTATTATTAATACTAAATACATCTAAAATAGATATTCATTGCCTCTATTATCTTTCATATATATTTCTCAAAAGATCTGAAAAACATATGGACTTGATTTGTGTTCTGAGGAACATGAAAAACAAAAGGAAAAAATATTCTTACACGTAGCCATGTACCCTACTATCGAAGCCAAAAGAAAACAGAAATCAAACAACGTAAAAGGTCGTACGAAGTGAGACCAAGTTGTGATACCACAAAGTTAAGTCTACTAGCCTCTATTATGCCATTGTTTTATATCCAGGACGAAAGATATCTGACAGGATAAGTCACTTCGATCTCTAGTATTTCACAAGACACCGGCATTATTGTTTGTGCACAGATAGTTCTTATTATGACTTCAAAAATTGCAAAGACACGAAGATTTGGAATGCTCCGACAATATCTTTCAAATCTTCAAGAGATCGAAGTGATTCACACCTTGAAATCCTATATGTTTGGTATAGAAATACCATTGTGATTTTATTCGAAACTACTGCTCAAGTATTTTAAATCTTCGTATCTTTGCAGCTTTTAAAGGCATAGTGAAAGCCATCTATACACTAAGAAGGGCACCGGTGTCTTTTGAAATGATGGGAAAAGAAATACAAATTAGCTGGGTTTTCTTATAATTTTCAAATAGGACCGATTTTGGTAGTGTATCCACCTTCATTCTTTCATATGGTTAAATCTATGATTCGAAGAAATGTATGCATAGATACGCGAGGGCCTTAGATTATTCGACCATAGTATCTCTGGCATACTTCAACCTATTGAGCTGCGATTTTTAGCAAAACGTAGCTAAGTACTATCACAAGCTACACTAAAACTATTAATCCAATCGAATGTATTTTGATTTTGCAACGATAAAAAATATTAAAATTGTAGAGTTATAATTTAGTCCAAAATTATTCATGCTGCTGATTTTTCATCAAAAGAAAGACTTTACCTCTAGTGATAAATAACAAATTGAATTACTTTCATATACAAACTTCTTAATTCGACTCCAATATTTCTCTTGGATATAACCAAGAATAACTTCATCGATTTTATTCTGATATCAAAAAAACAAAAATAAAAACACATACAGAGATAATATTTTCTCTTATCTCATTTTTGAATGATGCAATACTATTAATATCGAGTTGAAAATCCTCCTTGATTTAGGCACTCTTATAAACGATTTTCAACTGAATCAACTAATTTTTCAGTTACAACGTTTCGAATCTGATTCCACTCTTCAATCAAAAATTCTTCTAATTCTTGTTCATTTTTTTGGTGGTGATATACATTGTCGAATACGTCGATCGAGTATAGTCCGTAGGTGTTCAATAGGACTTAAATCAAGACTTTGTGACGGTCAGTTTAAACGTTTTAACATGTTTTTTATTCAACCATTTTGTTACAACAGATAACCGATGTTTAGGGTCATTATCTTGTTGAAATATAAAGTTCGATCCTAGACCCATTTTCTACGTCGACTGGAATAAATTCTATTCTAGAATATCTTCATATGTCTCACCTGTTAAAATTCTATCAATCAGCACTAGATTACCTACACCTTGTCTACTAAAACATCTCCTTACTTTGACATTATTACCATGATGTTTTATCGTTAGTAATATGCGGTTCGAACTAAATTCTTCATCGACCTTTCTCCACACCATTACGTCGCCATCATAACCAGATAAGTTGAACTTTGATTCATCTAACCATATAAACTTTCTCGATATGTCTGGCTGCATAAACCAAGCGTTTTCGTTTGTTAAGATCATTAATCAATGGTTTTTTTCGTGTTATACATCCCCAGTATCCAATTTCATGCATCCGACGTTTAATTGTTGTCGTGAAGATTCCAACATCTAATAAATTCTGCAACTCTGCTCTGATTGCAATAGACTATTTTTTTCGATCCGAGAGCAGTGTTCTTCATATAAAATCGTCTATTATTTTCGTTGTTATTCTGTTTCTTCCACGACCTGAAAAGTTTTTTACCGTTTGGTATAATTTGTATTTCTTCACAATCAATTGAATTGTTGCTTCCGGAATTGTCATATATTTTGTAACATCACCTAATGAATCTCTATCTAAATGGCGATTGACCATCAGATTTCGAAAATCGTCTGAATATTCTTTCGATTTGAATATCATACTTTAGTAACTCAGCAATCAAAGTATCGTTTTGAAGTACGACAGAATAGATGGAGAGATGTAATCAAATAAAGAAAGAGCGATTATCAAATATATGAATAGAAAGAAGAAAGAAAAATCGGAGGAAATGCAGAAAAATAACCAAAAGCACATGGCCAGATTTTATAAACACTTTATTTGCAGATTGATAACATCGTCTATATTAAAAATTCTGAAGAACAATTATATTTCTCCTGTCATATCTACTCAGCACGTCTGATTTTTTCAATAATCGAATGTTTACTATTTCACGTAGACTATACATAACAGAGCTATGAGGTAAGAGAAAATGTTATCTTTGTACATATTTTTATTTTTTAATATCAGAATAAAAACGATGAAGTTATTCTTGGTTATGTCCAATGGAAATATTGGAGTCGAATTAAGAAGTTTGTATACGAAAATAATTCAATTTGTTTTTTATTACTAGAGATAAAGTCTTTCTTTTGATAAAAAATTAGCTGTATGAATAATTTTGGACTAAATTATAACTCTACAATTTTAATATTTTTTATCGTTGCAAGATCAAAATGCGTTAGATTGGATTGATAGTTTTAGTGTAGCTAGTGATAGTACTTAGCTATGTTTTGCTGAAAACCGCACATCAGTAAGTTGAACTGGGGTAGAGATATTATGGTCGAATCACTACTTGTTGCTTGTATGAATAATATTGGCCGCCACTGTAGCTATCAATTCGGGAGAAATAAATACATACTTGTGGGAATCATGCTTTGGTCTATCTTTCACAGCATAATAGGACTCGTTTCATGCAATTGTTTTGAAGAAAATACTTAACACCAACATGTTTTAATATTTGCCCAATTATAACGATTATTCTTAGATATTAATTGTTTTCTTCAGAAAATCTGAAAGATGACTGCTGAAAGGCTATAAATCTGTAATTCCACTTTTGAAAACATCCTTTCACGATTGCCAATTCTAACAAATACTATTCTTCACAGTTATTTAAAAATATTTTATCGCTTATGACAGTAACCTAGAATAAGTATGCCAAGAAATTTTCTTCTACGACTATGCTATCAGAAAATGTTGGGTTGATATCGTAAGGTGCAATCTAACACTGATTGAAAGCAAACACTACAATATTTTCTGTACGTTAGTTCGTAGAAGATTTATTGTTTGTGTATACATAGAATTCTTTATTTGAAGCGTTGTTGACGACGCTTGATCGATGAATAAAGGCGTTAGACTCTGTCTGAGTACTAATACAGAAAACATTGCATAAATGGGTCGTCCCCAGAACAAATCAAAGTTAAAGTTGGCTATTTTTCCAAGAAGCTTTTTTCCCACTGTAATAAGGATAAAATATGGTGTTGTTCGAGCCATATGAAGGAGTCCTCCCAAATCCCTAATCGATCCGAACAATGTCATATTTTGTCCTTACAATAATAGAGAAAACCCTCCTTAAAATCTGATTGGCTAGGAAGTTTTTTGCCTCGACCAATCAGATTTTAGGAAGAATTTTTTCACTATTGTAAGGATAAAACATGACATTGTTCGGGTCAACTAGGAGTTTGGAAGGACTCTCTTTCATATGGTTCGAACAGCGCCATGTTTTGTCCTTATTATAGTGAGAGAAAAGCTTCTTGGAAAGACAGCCTACTTTAACTTTGATTTTTTTAAAGTTACAGTGTTAAAGTGCCACACCTACGGTTTAAATCAACTTTTTTTAAACAGGAAAAATAAGTAAATGGACAAATTTTTTTCTCGCATGAATAGCATCTATAATAACAGTCATTCGATAACAGAGTGAGTGACTGCTATCATCCGAATCTTGTATACATGAAATCGTTTAAAAAAATCAATAGATCAGTTATTTAAGAAGGAAACAACAAACTCAAAGACTTTGTAAAATTTCATACGATGTTAAAAGATTCTACAGAATTTCAAAAGATATCAGGAGGCTT